CTCCCCGCCTCTCCGACCCTCAGATCTTTCTGGGACAGCAGCCGCAGACTGCAACGTCGCAAGGCTCCAAGCCCGTCGCCGGTTGGAGATCAAAAGCTCCTCTGCCCGCAGCTTTAATTTCGGGCCGCCTGGCTGCTTCCCCTCCCGGGCAGCTGGAGGGTCGCATCCGGGGGGGAGAGGGTGGCACTAATGCAGCACAGTTGACTTCCACTCACCTGCCAGGAGGCGAGCCCGCGGGATAATGTCGAAAAACGGACGGAGGGTGCGCACGGACGCCCGTGACCGTTACTAACCGTCTGTAAATAGAGATCCCGGAAGGAACCGAAGCGACGTGAAGCTGGGCCTCCTTGAAGGCCGAAAGCGCCTCCAATGGCTGCGCTGACCCGGAAGAGGATGGAATCTCTTCCGGGCTACATTACTTAATCCGCCAGATGCGAGGAACAGAAAGTATGGAACCATTTGTTTCGGGGAAAGAGTGGATCGTGATTAAAACATGGAACATTGTTTCCGAAGGAAGATTCGCGTTAAAACTGCACTTTTGAATCTGCTCCCGCCACAGGTGGCTCTGGATACGATATCGGCCTGAAGTTGGCCAAAGAAGGGCACCCATAAGATTGCTGCCGTGGCTTTTGCCAAATTGCTTTATTCACAATCTTCCTTGGTTATTTAAATTTTATTAACATTTTATTGTAATTGGCAGCTGCTGCCAAGCAGGTCTTTAGCGATCTTTTTAACTAGAGCCATCACCTTTACCTTCTGATAGGGATAGCTGTGTTTAAATATACTCTTAAAACGAAGAGCGATTTCTTCCCATGAACTCTGCACATTATTCGGGGTGCTTTATTTTTGTGCAGCTGCAAAAGCGAACGCACATTATGATCCTTCGGACAACCCGGTCTTGTGCGTACTTACTCAAGAAATAAGTCAATGTGATGCATACACATCGTTTTAATTTGAGCAATACAATCGTTCACGCAAATGTCGAGAATCCCTCTTAAAAGTTACCAGAAAATAACATAAAACCTCCTAATGATTTCGATAGAAAGTTAAAACGTGCAGATTTTCAAATGAGTATTAGGATTCTAGGTAATGTATTCTTGTATGGTCCGTGATTTAACCAAGGTTTGTGAAATAAAATACAATTAGTTGATTTAAATACCACTACCGTATGCTCTTAAATCGGCTTGTGTGAACCCAGTTCTTACAAAGCATGATTAATAAACTACGGTGATAGTCGAGTTCACACAACAAACTCAATAAAAAGCAAGCAAGCTGCAATGATGGTTTAGACAGGTTCATATCTGGATGTATTATTCGGGAAAAAGGAAGACCTAAATCAGCCCAAACGCACCGAGTTCAGGACAAGTTCAGGTGTTTCTTGGGATTCTTTAAAGCAGTTAAAGTGAAGGATTAATTGTTCTGTTAAACGTTAAAATACAAACGTTTGTCTTCCTTAATTAACATTACTAGCTAATTAATAGCACTGAGTCCAATAAAGTTGCCAAGTAAGATGCCACTGGACCTTCTCTTAGTTTAAGGGCTCCCTCGCATCGGGTCCTGTGAACGTCTGAACGTTTTCCTCCAGAAGAAACGCGCAAGCCTTCCACCACAAGAGGTCTCTGCAATATCCCTCCCGTGACCCCACACGCTGCAATCTGACAAGAGCGAGCCGTGCGTGTTAAACCCCGCGGAACCGGGGTGGGGGTGGGGGATGAGGGAGACGACAGGGCTGCATGCCAGCGTTATTCTCCCGCTAGGGCGTTCGGGATTATAAGGATTACGTCGCTAACCCAAAGAGGAACCTACCGGGGTGTAACTAAAGCTCCAAATAGCTCAGCGAGATCAAAACGTCGCTTTCTGCCTCTGTGTTGTACTGTACACACCACGATTGTAGAAGAGTAGGAAACGAATCAAGCTGCTATCGGATGATGCCAGGAGTACAGTATATCAATTTGGCTTAATCCGGTTTTATGGCTCCGATCGTAAACTAAGCAGCCCTCCGTGCATATGCTGCCAGTGAATCCATCCATTTACTTGGGGATGTTAAGAGGAAATGTTTGCTTGCTTTCCTGCTAAGGTGTGGTTTTATAATTACGAGGAAAAGCTTGCTCCCTTTCATCCTAACAGGCATCATTTTATAACCCTTTATCATCTTTCCTGCCAGTTATTTTACAGCACAGTTATATATACATTTACTTCTATTCAGAGTTTTCAGGTAGAAGTTGAGTTGCAGTTCTAATCGTTCCTCTTTTGTTGAAAGGCACAATATTTCTACCCCTCTAAGTTTCTCCTTTTTGAAGCACCCTGAGGAAAGGAGAAGCAAACCTCACCAATTATTCTATAGTGGTTTAGTTTTCTGAGCCTTTAGAAGGAATGACTAAAAAATCCAAGTATACAGTATCCATTTATTGTACAATAACTTTTTTGGCTGGATGATTGTTTAGATGATCAAACAGTTCCCCAAGAAATGGCATCACAATACATTTCTGATTCCAAACAAAATGGCAGTCTTCATTAATAACCCGCTCCATATCAAGCTGGTGACCTACCATTGCCATAAAAATTGATAAATACTTTAGGTTAGGGGTCCCCAACCCCTGGTCTATGGACTGGCATTCCAGACACTGGGCTACGCAAACAAGCAAAGGCCCATCTGTGAGGTGTAGGTAGCATGTAGGTAGCATTCAAAACCATATTCCGGTCCACGGAAAAATCTCTCTCCACAAAACCGGACCCTGGTGCCCAAAAGGTGGCCCTGCTTTAAGGTTATTCTGGATCTTAAAAGGAAAGGATACTTAACTGAAAGATTGAGGAGATCCTAGATGTAGGATTGCCAATTGATGAAGTACTTCTGCAGGCAGGGAAGGATAAGTTTCCCATTTGCTGTGTATCGGTTATTAGTTCCCCCCC